GAAAACTCTTTGGCCTTTTTTTGAGGACCCAGATTATTGGGAGCAATATGCTGACTTTGTAAACCCACTACTGGGTGGCATATAAAACCCCAGGATCTCAAATTGTGTACCTAGAATTTAATGTAAAGAATATTCATTCAGTATATAAAGATTTGGATGTACAATAGCAGGACCGACAGCAACCCACCACTGCTGCTTAGACTAGTCCCTATAGTTTTTTTTTAAAAAAAACAAACATATTTTTTAGAAGTGGTTTGACATTGCTTCATTCCTAGTGCTTTACAAGAGTGGCTGGCCCCAAATCTTCCAGCTATCTTTGTATTTAAGACAAAACTAGAATTCAAAATCTGTAGCCAGGTACTTTAAATCACTAACCATACTTACATCCATCCTGCTACCTTTCCAGTGTTATCTAGCTTCAAAACACAATGGATGCTGCCCTTAATAGATGCAAACCCTGCCTGCCCATATATCAGCTTTCTTTAAGTACTTGTCACAGACCTCCTTAGAGATGTATTATTCTGCTTTCAACACCCTGAAGCCTGACACTCTGAACTGGAGCCCTAGACTTGGCAATATAGGAAGTAGCCATCTAGAAAGTATGTCTTGATTTACATTCAGCTTACTACATATTTTCCATAAGCACACAAGCCCTTTTTAAGGTTTTCCTTAGTAAATCAATTTACTGAAAGGTAAAATAACTGCTTTAAGCAGGATGGATATAACATTTACAAATGTTGGCTTTTTGCTATCTTTGCATTTCTGAAATTTGCAAAGGACAACAATAATGGTTGCTGCAAAAAATTGCAGTAGAACACTTTACTATTTCTTTATTTTTAAGCTACTGCTTGTCAATAATTAATGATTCACCAGTGATTGCAAGTATTTAAGAATTTATTTTTGTCTGGTGCAGCGTAAATTATTTTAACGCTTCTATTATGATGATCAGGTAAAACAGGAATGACACTAAGAATAGCATTTTTGCAGTGCATAGCTAGCTCAGAGTCATTTGTTTAAATAAAGATAATCTATTATGCAGAGCTATTGGTTACAAATAGGTGGCCAATAATCACATAGGAAATGTTATTGGATCATCAACTTGTACCTCTGCCATTTACTTGAGTAAATCTTGGAAGTCTTTCAGACTCTATTTTTGCTATTTGTCCCCTTGTTTGTAAGTAATGACTGACCATAAGAGTCATTTGTTTTAGTTAGTTAGTTAGTTAGTTTATTAAACTTGTATGCCGCCCTATTCCCAGGGGGACTCAGGGCGGCTAACAAACTAATAGGGAAGGGAAGCAATACAAAGAAGACAAACAAGACAAAACAAATACAAAAACAGATTAAAAACTCCTCAACAGCCGCAACAATTCGAGTGGGGCTGGGAACTCATCAGTCCCAGGCCTGCCAGAACAGCCAGGTCTTAACGGCTTTGCGGAAAGCCTGAACGGTGGTGAGGGTCCAAATCTCCATGGGGAGCACTGTTCCCTCTAAGGTGCGCGCCTGCGCGGCCGCGCACCTTGCAAGAAAGCCCCGNCAGAGCTCCATGCACTGACCTAGGGGATATCCCTAATGTGCCAAGCCACGGGAGCTGGGGAGCAGGCAGAGCGTCACGTGCCTTGGTGCCTTAGGGATACCCCCTAGGTCAATGAATGGCGCTCTGCCCGGCTGGAGAGGGGAGTTGCTAGGCGGTAGCTCGTGAGCATGGTCATCTCATGGCTGCTTCGCCCCTGAGGCTGTACCCGGCTCTTCGGGAGCCCGCTCACAAGGGAGCAGCCACCCAGCAACTCCCCCCTCCGGCCAGGCTGAACGCCACTCCCCAACCTAGCGGTATCCCAAAGGCGTGAGTGCCTTCCCCACCCCCCCCTGCTCCCATGGCTTGGTGCCTTCGGGATACCGCTAGGTCGGTGAGCGGTGCTCTGCCTGGGCAGGGAGAGGGGTTGTCCAGGGGGCTTATTTTCAGGGGTGGGCTTATATTTTTGCCTACTCAAAAAATGTTTCAGGATAGGTCGTATTTTCGGGAAACACGGTACCTCCTTAAAGCTTTATAAAATAATGAAAGATATTGATTTTCCTAACTCACTAAATGAGATTAATCTCTTGTTGATATGTTGAAAAATATTGGTCATTAGCTATCTTTCTAAAATATTAACATGTATTCCTCCAATTAGAACATGCTTATACAATCATCAATACAAAAATAATAAGGTACACTAGCCTATTTATTAATTATAAGAAAAACAAAAAGTAATACATACAACCACAGACAAAACCTTCAAAAATGGAAACTGAAAAAGTATCAATTTCCTGCTAAGAGCGAGTCATAGCAATATTGCTCGGATAACACTTTGGAAATAACAGCTGGGATGCTGGATAAGTAATTTTTCAAAATGTTAAAACGAAGTATGTAGCAAATATAATATTTTTCAGAAAAGGATTACAACGGATTCAATTCCTTATAGCAAACAACACATTTCTTACCTCTGGTTGTTGGAAAGTCGACAAACCATCATTTCTGTTTTTTCTGATGTCCCTGGAGTTACGAAGAATGTAGCACCTCAAAATTCCAGGATTGGAAGAAAAAGAATTAAGGATACATTTTTAATAATACATTTAATAATAATAAAACTTTTGCTACTAAAAGGAAAAAGAAAAATTGGGCATATCCAGATTATTCCTATTATAATGTGCAGAGGTTTACCATTTTTCATTCTGGAATCCAAAGATGTATTTATACCAGAAAAACCCAACCTGAAGCTCCAAAATTTATGCAGACCTACAACGTTCAGTATCTTTTCCTAAGACATGCAAATATTGTTACTGAAGTATAATAACTAAAGGGAAAATATATAATGACTAAATTTGTACTGATATTACCCAAATTTAACAATATAGTTTCTGCCTTCTACTATCCATTACTGCCCTCAATATACCACAATATACCGCCAAAGTGTAATTTTTGATTCAAATTTCACTATCCTGTTTTATGTCATGTATTTATTACTATTATGAAGCATATCACCCCAAACAAATTCTTATATATTGTCTATATAATATATATTCAATACTTACCATTCATAAGCACTTTGAGTTGCCTGTCATAGAACTCCATTTCTTTCTGAGAAATGAGAGCACATTCAGCACACTGGCGTACAGGATCAACGAAGTACATACGAGGCAGAGGCACTTTCTTGCTGCAGCATTTATCACAAAAGCACTTTCCACATCTCCTGCAATGATGCTGGAATAGAGGAGAAAGAGAGAGATTAACCAAAATTAGATCATTATGTTTAAAATATTTGATTCTGCTCTATTGCAAATTCTATCAGATAGAAGAGAAATAAATACTGTAGCGGAAATGCAAGGAGTATAAAGAGGATAAAATCCTGATATGACAAGTTAAAAAAAATACCAGAATGTTTGCAAAAACAAAAACAAATGGGAGAAAAATGTCTGAATTAAGTCTGAACTCTCATGTACCAAAGAAAGCTGTCCTTGCAGATCACATTGTACTACTTCTCTAATTTCTATGGAAGTCTAGCAATCGGTCCATGAAAGTGCAGAGTACAATAAGCAGTGTTTTTTTTCCTTTCTCTGTTCTAAAAAAACAAGCACATTCAGCAAGCTTCAAATATCAAATGCCCAGAGTAATTTAGGTGACATGGGTGGTGCAGAAATATAATAAGTAATATAATAAGTATAAATAACTATCAGCAAACCACAATTAATGTTTAACTACCTAACTGAGCTAAAAGTTACATAGTTAAAGAATATAAACAGTACTTAATACAAAAGAGAGAAAGAAAGAAAGAAAGAAAGAAAGAAAGAAAGAAAGAAAGAAAGAAAGAAAGAAAGAAAGAAAGGAGAGATACATACATATATAAATATATAACCTCGGGAGCCGAGGTGGCGCAGTGGTTAAATGCAGCACTGCAGGCTACTTCAGCTGACTGCAGTTCTGCAGTTCGGCTGTTCAAATCTCACCGGCTCAAGGTTG